GCGGATACTCTTGTGTTATTCCATCGGCGATCAACGAAACCATTACGTGATGCACCCAGTGTTTATAATTCACTCCCAGTTCCTCAAGTGCCCAGTTCAAACCGAACACAACCGAAGCCTCCTACCTGCTACCACTGCTTTTCATGTGGTGAATACCATCTTCGTTCGACTTGTCGGTTCCGCAACGCCACTTGCCATGCATGCGGTAAGATGGGCCATATCCGCAACGTATGCCGAATGCCCAAGTGTAACCTTATCGGTTCCCATATCCCAACAGCAGATGAGAATTCAAGCCCAATCTACACGCTGCAGACCACTGAACCCAACGGCCAGTTCGTGTTCGCCCCACTGAGGTTCGAGTCTGGTGTGGAGCATCGATTCATCATGGACACAGGAAGCAGCGAATCTATCCTACCGAACTCAGCACTCACTGCGATTTGTCCTAATGCTGTTCTAGCCCCGACTACTGTGCGCATTGATGGGGTTACTAGCCATCAGTTGCAATTACTTGGCGAAACGATGTTGTGTGCTCAATCTGAATCCGGTATGTTAATCCCAATCCGATTCCTGGTATCGGCCCACAGTCCGTCTATTCTGGGCCTGCGAGCAATGCGGCTACTACAAGGATCAATCAAATCACACTACATACCAAAAACGATATGCCAATCAACTCACATCTTCAACATTTGATTGTACAGTGTTCCGGTAACGTTGGTGGCATGAAAGTACCGTGGGTAAAGTTGGAAGTGGACGGTGAACCTATTTTCATAAAACGACGGATCCTTCCATACGGTCAACGGGAAGGTGTCCTGAAAGCATTACAGAACATGGAGCAGGATGGTGTGATAAGTAAAGTTGAATCCAGTGCCTGGGCGACCCCGATCCTCGTGGCCATGAAGTGATGGTAGGACACTACGGATCTGTGGAGACTATTGACTGACGTTGAATCCCAGATTGCGGAGATGTGCAGCGACCACCATGGAACCAGAAAATTTAATGTAGTCATTGCATGGGTGCCAGTATTTTTCCAAGATCGATTTGGCGGACGCATACCTACAGATTCCACTCGATGCCGAATCTCGCTACTTGACAACAAGCAACACGCCGTGGGGAATGTACCCGTATAATTTTCTCCCGTTCGAATTTCATGTGTCTTTTGAATTCTTTCAATCGGCAATAGACAGTGTAATCAAAGGACTCGACGGTGTGCTTGCATATCAAGATGACGTCCTCGTTTCCGGCCTTATTAGGAAAGAACACGATGCCCGTCTTACGCAACTACTGGAATGATTTGCCGCCAGAAATGTGGCTATCAAGCCGTCCAAATGCGTGTTTGGTGTGAGTGAGTGAATTGCAGTTTCTAGGATTCACAGTTGATTCCCTTGGAAACCGCCCCGATCCGACACGTTTTAAACCATTGACTAACATCGAATCTCCAAAAGATCAAGCGCATTTGAGATCTGTGATGGGATGCCTACATTACTACTCCCGATTTATCCCTAACTTTGCTGTAAGAGCTTTTCCGTGCTCAGTGTTCAGGCGCTTGGGAATTGTCGATGGAGTGTGAAGATATCTTACGTGGTTTAATTCACTGCGTTACTGATCGTCCTGTTCTCGCCCCGTTTTCACCTTCAAAACTGACTACACTCATCACCGATGCATCCGACGTCAGAATCGGTGCTGTATTAGAACAAGAGGGATGCCCAGTGATCTGCATTTCACATCTGCTTAATGCAGCTGAAAAGAGATACTGATAGACTCAAAAAGAAGCGTTGACTGTATTTTGGGCTGTTCGACGATTGCACAAGTACCTTTTCGGATTGCGGTTTACTATCATCACTGATCATCAAGCGCTACAGTTCTTGTTTAACCCCAACAAATACATCGCGAAGTCCACTGCTGCTATGCTACAGAGGTGGAGTATCGCTCTAGCCGCATACAAATATGACATCCAACATCGTCCAGGAAAGAAAACCCATAGGTTGATTTCCTCTCTCACTACTCATGATTTTCTGAGGCCGAACAGTGTTGTTTCATCTCCCCAGCATCGCCATTATCTCGGGAATCTTTATACAAATCTACCAAACAGAACTACTCGGCTATACTGTCAGCGATCAAGAAAGGGTGGTCACCAGAGGTAAAGAGAAAATATCCTCAAATCTTTGCTCACCGAGAGGAGTTTTCAGTACAACTGGATGGTGTATTGTGTCGCGACGATCGTTTGGTAATCCCACCGCCACTGCAGAAGGCGGTACTAGATGAATTGCACAAAGGACATATTGGAGTGAAGAAGATGAAATCAATGACTTGACAGATGTGTTGGTGGCCGGAGTTGGACGCAGACATTAACGCAACAGCCACGAACTGTCGATCATGTCTACATCAACTACGAAGAAGACCGAAAAACTGGACATTATGGCTGAAAAGTTATATACCATGGCAAAGGGTTCATTTGGATTTCTGCGGTCCATTTCTGATCCGGTACTACGCCCTTGTCCTGATCGATTGTTTGGATGTTACGCAAAAAATACTTCCCTCTGCGTTGAACCTGTCAGACGCAAATGTTTTCGCGAAAGTCCTCACTTTTCTTTTCCTGTTCCTGATTTATTTATAAAATCATTTCGAAACACTGTGTTGTGGTTTGGAAACTATCTGTCGTGTTTACTCTATTCATTTCGAGGTGTTATTTGACTTCCATTCTTCTCATTAATGCGTGCTAGAAGTATCCCTTTGAAATTCTCGAAAACCACCTACACCACTTGCCCTCGACCCTTCTGTTTGCCAATCCCATTGGGCTACGTATCCTGATGATAACTCTTCCACCTCTAATTTAGTTAGGCTCGGTTCCCATGAGCGGAAACCAAATCATTAGAGAATTGCGCGTAACCTTAACATTTTTGGAGATTATTTTCACGTCTTTTTTCAAGTTTATTTCATTTCTATTATTTTTCCACGTGATGCGCGGTCACTGAATGCTTTGGACTTAACTTCTAAGGCCTGATTTTTGCAGAAATCTTGTCTGGTTCAGTCTTAGAATTTGAAAATATAATTTATGAAGTTTCTTTACACATTTGTAAATATGGGATGACCACTGTAGGTTTGTGTCAACGGCAACTGCTACCTATCTCACGGAGTCCACTCTAGTTAGAGGGTCTGTTGGATTTATGAACGAAGGGGTTATGGGGATAAAAGGATCGTGAGAGAGGGTAAAGTGCATTCGGAGCATTTGGATAAACTAAGAGAGCCCAGAAAGAACGGAAAATGGATATGTGATAGATTCCTAGAGAAAGTTTGGAGGTCTTTAGGCACAAAAATGGCTTGGCAAAGGGCCATGTTGTCAGCGTGTTTAAATAATTGGTCTGGAGAGCTTATTAGCAGGTCACTGATGTGGATAGAAAATAAGAACAAATAAATGCCCGCTCGCTGGAATACTCTCGAATTGTTCACGAGCGGTCTAAATGGTTTCGTACCCAGCCGAGTATTCTATGCTCTGTTTGTGAAGCAGTCGGCTAGCCACTCCAGCAGATCTTTAGGATAACTAAATGATTCCATTTTGCGAAGGATGAGAGAACGCGGAACAGAATCAAACGCCGATGAAAAATCAAAGAAAACATCCTACTGATCTCGCGGATTTGGTAGCCCAATGAATAGGAAAGGCGACAGCATCCCAAATGGATTCGTTTGATTTATACGCAAAGTGGAAAGGGTCGTCTGGGGTACTGAAAGAAGCAGATAAACTTTTGAGAATGGTATGTTCTGTCATTTTAAGACTACATGATGTTAGTTCAATGGGACGGAAATGTTTGGATAGGATACTGAATCTACACGTTTTGGAATAGTAGTGATCGTGACGAGTCTCCAGCATTCCGGGATAGAATACGTGCTAAATGTTGTGTTGAGGAAAGAAGTAAAGGCTCCCGCTACAGTAAGGACACCATACTTTAAGATGGATAATGTTAGACCATTGGGACCGACACCGTTGGATGATTTAGTTGCACGAAGGAGTTTAACCACTTATTCCCTCGAGAATAGGATTACATATAGCTAACCCGAGGTCATTCAGCCTTTTTTCGCTGAGCTTGTATGTTGTCTACTAGACAGCCCCTTCTGGCGAGGATACACCAGAGTTCTGATGTCTTCTTCTATCAGTTCCCCATATTTCGAACTATGTGGCCAAACCAATTTTTAATTCTAAGGGGTTTCAATCTATCGCAGCATGAGGAAAGATAGTGACATTTTCACGGGGGTTAGATAAATTCTCATAGTAGGAATATTTAGCTTTCATTCTTGTCAGGCTCAAATCAATACTGACCGTTTGGTCTTATCTGATCTACACTTGCCTAATTTCTTTCGGTGTATTGTTTGTGGTTTATTGACAGTCTCAGTGCGTCCTAACGCATAGCACTTGACGACTACGCTTACACCAATGTGACAGTGGAACTCTGAGACAATCCAATATGCTAGGTGATTGTTTTTTCGACTGATCAACCACGGTCAACCAAATTTGAGCCAAAGTAGATGGATGAGTATTGGGGGGGGGGATATCTAAATTTCAACGGTTCTAGTTTGAAACCAGATCATTTTTTTCGGATAGCAACGATACACTCCAGCACAATTCGTACGGTACTCTTCACTTGATGAGGAGAGCACTCGAATACCGTTTTTTTAAGCGCTGCTCACATGGATTGAGTTGAACCGCAAGTCACATTACAGTACAAAACGGAATTCGATTTTACCGATCTCTATATACGTAATCTGAGCACCAGTATATGTACCTACCAATGGATGACCATCACTCTGTTTGCTGGAACTTGGGAACCATTTTTCCGGTTCGTCTAAATAAAGTATGAAAAACAATCCTAGTTCGTTTTTCAAACTAGGCCAGAGTAACATCGTTCGACGGATAATTGGATTTGGCACACCTTTAGACATCCGACAAATTGGCGATTGAAATTAATTAGTGAAGTCAACTGTTTTGATTGAGTAAAAGGTTCGTGACACTGTTTTCGTAGTTTAAACTCAACTGGGGGAGCTGGGATGAGTCATCAATAGATCCTTGAAATCACCCGGAAGTTTGCGATACCGCACAGTCATCTACCACGAATGTCACACCATCCCATATCTGACCAAAGTGGATTACAGCTTCATGCCGATCTTCTTTCCCTTAACAATATCAGATCACAGTTACGTTTACTTGGAAAATCAATGGATTTTAATGTGAACAGCGAGGAGGTGAGAGTTAAATGTTACTACTGCTTCAGTTCAAATGCTCAAGTCATAATTTGCTCTGATACATTCATAACCTTGAGAAAGAGGAGCCAGTATAGAAACACTGCTTGATTGATGTCCTGGACAATTACACTGTATCCGAATTGGTGCCTACTGTGGATCAATAGATTGTTTTTATGGCGTTTCGAAATGGATTAGAAAATGAACAGATGTGAATGGGGAAAGGGTCATCAAGACAAAGTTAGGGTGATGAATGCGTCCCTTTGTTGACATCAAAATTAGTATCGATCGCTTGATTGCAATCGTCTCGGCAATCTGAGCATTCTAGCGATATCATTAGTCCAACCCACTCGAAATGCATTCTCGCCAACAACGAGGTGTTCCATCATCAACAAGAGCTTGACAATCGATGAACTCGATGTTTTGTGAGCACGGTCTCTCCCGGTTACCAGCTGTGTGGACCCTGACATGGGAACCCAACTCGAAATGTGTTCTAAAACCGGATTATATAATTGCCTTTCTGTTCTGTGACACTTCGTCATTGATATTTGTTTATTATTTTTTAATCCATTCCCAAACCCTACACAAACAGTGCATTCGACTACAGTGGGCACCAGTTAAGATGCAACTGGATCGTCCAGGACGTAAATCGTGCAATGTTGGTGCCATACTG